GAAGTTTCCCCTTGTGGGTAGTAGGTACATTAGACAGGAACATTCTGCATGACCTGCCCTTGTGGGCCATAGCCTTTCCAACGTCCTCGAGGAGTTCCCTGGGCCAGCAGAGACCAACAAAAACAAGCTGTGTGTAAATAATCAGGGCCCTAAGGTCACTGACTTTACCTCATGGGCTTGCGGGTGGGGGTGGGGGTGGGTGCGAGCAGACTTTATGGAGACCTGGGGCCCAAGAGAAGAGCAGGGGTTTGACACCCTGTATTATTGACAATGCTCCCAAACTGGAAACACACTGTCCCTCGACTGGAAAACAGACACAGAGAGGTGTATTCTTACAACCGCCCACATGACAATGAAAACACACACACACGCAGAAGGATGGATTTCACAGACGTTATGTTGATCCCCAGAAGCAAGACCCATGGTTGTTCGATCCCGTTGGCGAGACCATCTGTACCAGCAGAGGCGTCTGTGACTCACACTATGGTGACAGGAGTCAGGGACGTGGCTGGGGGAGGGGGGTCGCTAGTGCCTGGAGGGAGATTGTGAGGGAACTTTCTGAAGCGATGGAAAGATTCTGCAGCTTGACCTGGGTTGTGTTTACATAGGCGTACGGGTATGTAAAAATTCCATCAAGCTGCACACTGAAGACTTACGCACTTTTCTGCGTGTTACGCCTCAATAAAAGTTAACCATGATACCTAATAATAACGATGACAGCTGGGTTCTAGGCTGCGTCTCCTTACACCCTAATCCCGCCGCCTGTAATTACCTGTTCACGTGACCACGAAGGCGATTCCCACCGCCTTATAATTACGGGTCCACGTGACCACCAAGGCAGTGCCACCGCCTGGTCATTACCAAGGCACCGGGAACAGGGTTTCTGCAAAGGGCTGGAACTGGGAACCCGAGGCTTGCCGGGAAGGAGCCCCGGGCGGGCACTCAGCACCGGCCTTAGTCGGTCATGCGCTACCGCCGTGTCCGCTGCGTGTCCCGGGCGGAGGGCACGGCCCGGCGCCGCCCAGGTAGAGGTGCGGACGTGACTTCGGCCCCAAGGCGACAGCGGCTCCCCACCCCGCCTCCCCCCACGTCCTGCCGCGCTCCTCGCCGCGGAGAAGCCAGCCAATCCGCAGCCGGCCCGGCCGGGGGTCACTGCATTAAGGGCTTCCGTCACCTAAGCTGACCACGCACCACCAATGGGCGAGCCGCCCTGAGGCCGCCAATGAGCAGCAGCCTTACGTCCTGCGCCGGCTCTGGGTTCCTTCGCAGCGTTTCCGCAGTGAACGCTCCACTCCGAATGCCGGTTGGCTCCCTGCCAGCCAATCATCGGGGCGCCCCAGGCCCGGCAGCCAATGGCAGCCCGCCTTCCCGCGCCGGGCCGCGGCGGGTGGCGCTGAGCTCCCGCAGCCCGCGGGAGGCGGGGGCGGATTGGCGCAGGCGGCGTCCAATGGGCGGCGCGCGCGAGGAGCGGGGCCAATGAGCGCGCCGGGGGCGGTGCGGGCGCGGCGGCGGGCGGCTGCAAGGAGCGGCCGGTGGTGGCGGCGGTGGCGGCGGCGGCCGGTGGCGGCGGCGGCCATGGCGGAGGCGGAGGCCATGGCGGCGGCGGAGGCCGGGGGTGACGACGCCCGCTGCGTGCGGCTGAGCGCCGAGCGGGCCCAGGCGCTGCTGGCCGACGTGGACACGCTGCTGTTCGACTGCGACGGCGTGCTGTGGCGCGGCGAGACGGCCGTGCCCGGCGCGCCCGAGGCCCTGTCGGCGCTGCGGGCCCGCGGCAAGCGCCTCGGCTTCATCACCAACAACAGCAGCAAGACCCGCGAGGCCTACGCCGAGAAGCTGCGGCGCCTGGGCTTCGGCGGCCCCGCGGGGCCCGGCGCCGGCCTCGAGGTCTTCGGCACGGCCTACTGCACCGCGCTCTACCTACGCCAGCGCCTGGCGGGCGCGCCGGCCCCCAAGGCCTACGTGCTGGGCAGCGAAGCCCTGGCCACCGAGCTGGAGGCCGTGGGCGTCGCCAGCGTGGGCGTGGGGCCCGAGCCGCTGCTGGGCGACAGCCCCGGCGCCTGGCTGGACGCGCCGCTTGATCCCGACGTGCGCGCCGTCGTGGTGGGCTTTGACCCGCACTTCAGCTACATGAAGCTCACCAAGGCGGTGCGCTACCTGCAGCAGCCCGGCTGCTTGCTCGTGGGCACCAATATGGACAACCGGCTCCCGCTCGAGAACGGCCGCTTCATCGCGGGTCCGTGCGGCCCGGGGACGGGGGGGTGGGGGCGGGCCGCGGGCCCCTCCTGTCCTCTGACCCCGGGTGCTCTCCCCCCCTCCCTCCCTCCCCTACCTCTCCGCCCCGCAGGTACCGGCTGTCTGGTCCGAGCCGTGGAGATGGCCACCCAGCGCCAGGCCGACATCATAGGGAAGCCCAGCCGCTTCATATTCGACTGCGTGTCCCAGGAATACGGCATCAACCCGGAGCGCACCGTCATGGTGGGAGACCGCCTGGACACGGACATCCTCCTGGGCGTCACCTGTGGCCTGAAGACCATCCTGACCCTCACCGGCGTTTCCACTCTAGGGGATGTGAAGAGTAATCAGGAAAGTGACTGCATGTCTAAGAAGAAAATGGTCCCTGACTTCTATGTTGACAGCATAGCTGACCTTTTGCCTGCCCTTCAAGGTTAAAGATTTAGTGTCTTTAATCTCCAGAATAAAACGAATTGAAAACCACTTACCCAAATTAATAGGTGGGGCTTAAGCATCTGCTCAGCTAGGTGGCTTCAAAGAGCATGCGTGGAGTCAAGTAAAGGCACTAGTTGTTAACCTTGTAAGTAAACGTGTGGGGGGTGATATTGTTTACAGATGCTTCTATTTGAAGATGCACTTTTGAACCTGGAGGGCATTGTGGGGCCCTGGGCATTGGGTGCCATTGACAAGGACAGGCTTAGCGTCTGTCCAGGATTCTGGTAACCTCAGGGTGGTTACCCAGCCTGCTGATGGGACCGAGGGAGGTCTAGGGATGTTAGATGTTTTATTGAAGATTTCATTCAGGGATCGGGCCCCCCTTACAGGCCAAAGGGGAAGACGGTCTGATGATTTTGACTGTTGTGAGAAACTTGTACAAACAGACCCAGGGCCCGTTGGTGCGGTCATCTGCAGGTGAGCCTGCTGTAGCATCCCAGCCCCTCACCTGCAGGGTGAGAGTGGAGGACAACGCTGCTCCCAAGTGCTGTCTCCCTGTCCTTGGGGTGCACACCTTGGGTGTGGGGTGTCACCACCAGCACCCCACACTTAACGTAAAAACCACTCTGATGTCACAGTCAAGTGTCTGTTCCGTTTCAGATACCCAGGGCTGCCACACCTCATATGCGGTCACGGAGTTGTGTAAACTCAGTCCAGCTAAGCCTCAGCTTTCTCAAATGTGCATTTAAATCCAGCTGATTTGGACTGAGCATATTCTTAGCTGAGCGGCCAAGAGGGTGTGGATGCCTTTGCTGAACTCTGGGCAGCTGTGCAGAGAGCTCAGAGTAGCGTTGGTACCAAAAATTATTTTTTTAAACTTTTGAACAACTTTGTCAAACGGTGGAATTGAATCTTAAGTGTGTTAATTAATAGCTGTGCTCTGTCTCGTAGGGAAAATCCCACTGAAGAAGTCTGCGTGCCCCACAGCCAGCAGCACGGCTAAAGGCATGTGCTGGCCAAGGAATGCCTGTCGCCCTGGGCGCCCTCTGGGTGGGGGAGGAAAGAGGAGTCCCCAAGAACAGGAAATCCTTTTACAAAACATCCAGTCTCTTCCTGTTTTCCTCCCGTACTCTCAGTTGGGGCGGGAGTTAGATGCCAGTGGCCCTTGAGGCCACTTCTCTTGGCTCTGGAGCTCCTTGTCGGAGGCCAGCAGGAAAACTGGCAGGGCCCACCTGCTAGCCGAGAGTTCTTGGCAAAGGGTCCCAGCCTTTTCTTCCTGTTTCCTAAGTTGCTGACCTGATAAGCAGACCGTCCAGCCGCACTTGTAGGGTAGGGCCTGGGAAGCTGTTCCTTTTGGCAGACTCCTTCCCAGCGCCTCACTCTGTACCCAGTGCCCACGAGCCTCTCTCCTAGCCCCAGGGCGACTCCTTCCCTCCTTCTCAAAGTTCTCATAGCAATAAACGGTGTCCTGAACCCGCAGCTCTTCCGAGGCCCGGGGTGTCTGGGGTCTGGACTCTGCTGTGGGGCAACGCGAGGGCAGCCAGCGCCTGTGAGGTTGGTGGTGCTGACGTTGGCTCTGCGAGGTCGGCTCAAGGTGGGTCTGGATATTGAGCAGGCCTGTCAGGGCGTTGTCACCCACACCAGGAGCACGCAGCAGGTGCGGCAAGCAGCAACACCTCTCCTGCTGGGCAGCAACCCGGGAGCCCACATGCACCCCATCTCTGCCCCCCGTTGCACTGTGTGAACCGAAATGCATATTAAAGTCTCAAATCCGCGCTGACTCTGGCATTCTTTGCCCCTGTTTTGATAGCAGCCTTTGCTCAGACGCTACATCCGCCTAGCATCCGGGGGCGGGGGGCGGGGGGGGCGTCTGAGAAGGAAGCGGTCTGGGATTCGTTCTAGAGCTGGGATGCTGACCACCACGATGCCACCACATCCCAGGCCTGTCACACACAGGGCTGGGTTCCGAAGAATCAGCAAGACAGTGGCACAAAGAGCAAGAACAGGAGAGGGCCACAGGGTGAAGGGGGTGCAGAACATGCACGTCCTGCGAGCTGCCAGTGCCAGAGGGAGCCCTGACTCAAAACCCACAGCATCAAGAAGTCAGAGGTGCAAGCTGGGAGCAGAGGCGGCCATCCTGGGCAGGGCAGGGGCCGGCTGACCTGACTGACCGTCCGGGGGCGTGTGAACGTTCCAGTCAGCTGCCAGGAAGCCGTCCTGCTCTCAGTCCTGCGTGCCGCAGACTGCCCATCAGCCCATCCCGTCTGAGGGGCTGGCAAGTGGCTGGGGGTACAGGGGACAGAAGGACAAAGGCAGCGTGCACCCCCATACCAGTCATTCAGGAAACGCGTTTATTGATGGGCTGCCAGGCGCTGAGCTCTGGGACTCCAGAAATAGCTTGACACTGGAACAAGCCTCTTGAGGAAAATGAAGTCTGTCCCCAAACAGACTCTGAAGTCATCCTGCCCGGGCCTGGGCTGCCTTCCGTGCCGATCCGTGGGACTTGATTTCCTTGACAGCCGTGCTCTTCACCCTTTCGGGCCCCCCCACTCCCTGGTCTGCACAGGCTGGGTGTCGGGAGAGCCAGGCACCGTGACAGGCACCCCCCCACCCAAAGCGGGGGGGGGGGGGCTGTCCTGGCTCCGGCCCTGATATCAGGTGGCTGGGCTGGTGGGAAGCAGTGGGGTCAGGAGAGGAGGGGGCCGGGATGGTTGTTTGGCTCATCACAGGTGTACTAAGGTTTCCCTAGCTGACTCCAAGGGGCGGCAGACAATCCGCACATTGTCACCAGGGCTGCAGCATGGAGCAGAGGCACTGCTGTGAGGACAGCCCCGGGCCTGGGCCTGTCCAGGTGAGTGCCTCCAACCACCCAGCGCCCCCTCCTAGGACAGACACCCAGGGCATGCCCTGCGCAGGGGAGGGGAGTGCAGGGCCCACCTCGCACACCTCAGCCCCTGCCTTCCTGAGCCAGCCTGCTCTCTGTCCTCTGCTTTAGGCCCCACAGACTGCAGCGTGCCCCCAGGTGAAGGCCAAGCCCGGCCCTGGGGGTTGCAGAGCCCCTGGCCTACTGCTGCTGCTGGCACTGGCCACTGCTGGGGCCATGGCTGGCGGGCTTCTTGGCTTCACTCACAGTCCCCCCAAGGTGAGCTCCTCCTGGGGACCTGGCCAGGGCCACAGACAGTGGGAAGGGGAAGGAAAGGCCAGCACCTCCCAGCCCTCCAGTGAAGCCAGGGCTCAGAGCAGTGGCAGGAGGACGAGAGGGGTGGGGGTGGGGGTCGGAAACCTCGCAGAACTGGGGGGGGTGTCGGGGGCTGCCCCAGCCTGCCCAGCTGAGCTCTAGCTCCCCGATCTCAGCCTCTGCTGCAGATGCTCCGTCTGACCCTCCCAAGCCCCGGGGCATCCCGATCCAACCAAACTGCCCAGGTGGATGCGGCCCGGAACGTGGCAACCATCTGGGTGACCTCGGCTCAGAGCAACCGCAGCTGGGCAGTGCTGTTCGATGGGCAGAGTGTGAGTGGGCTGGGGGTGTGGCCAGCACCCGTGGATGTTGGGGTGGCCCTGCCTCACCCGCCTGCCTCCCCAGGGCTGCGTCTGTTACCGGCCCTCGGAACACCCAGCCTGCTTCCTCCGCCTGATGGAGCCCCGAGATCGCGAGACCCTGCAGCTGCTGGTGAACATGTCCAGGGTAAGCAGCCCCATGCGGCCAGGCTCCCCGGGCCAGGGGACAGACAAAGGGTCCTGTGTACGGCCCAGGCCTGGGGCAGCTGCAGCTCTGGTTTCAAGGAACAGAAGGCCTGTCTTCCCTTGACCGAGGCTGCTGACAAGAGCAGAGGGTGGTGCTGGCAGCGGGCCAGCATGTCCAGGGACGCACAGGCCCTGCCCCAACCCAGGCAGTGCCAGTGCCCCTGCGGCATGGCCCACCAGAGCCTTCTGTGCAGGGCCAAGGGCCCCCCGGCCCCAACCAGGACACCCACTCTGCCCAGCAGCTGCTGGCAGTGCTGGGAGGCCGTGAGGTGGACCCTGCCCAGGTGGGGGATTCCGTGCGGCACCTCTGCACGAAGACACCCATTTACTGGGCCCGTCGAGCACAGGGTAAGTTGGGGTGGTGTCATGAGGCCTGGGCTCCTGCAGAACAGTCTGGGGAGAAGGGGGAGGAACCCTCTGGGTTTCACGGAGGCCCCTTCCCCCAGGGCCCCAGAGGCAGCGGCTGATCTACCTATGCATCGACATCTGCTTCCCTAGCAACATCTGCGTGTCAGTCTGCTTTTATTACCTCCCAGACTAAGTTCAAAGCCTGGCCAGTCCCCCAGGCCAGCCCCGTCACCAGTCACAGAGGGTGGCTGCCGGCAGAAGCTAATAAACCCTCCACCTGGCCGTAACGGTGTTCTCTGTGGCCTCGGGACACAAAATGGGTAGAGTCGGGGTGGGGGGGGGAGCACTGGCTTGGGGCTGGGCACCAACCTGGAACCTCCAGGCCCTGTGGATCTGGAATTTCCGGAACAAGTGAAGGTTAGCTCAAGTAGGCTTCTGAGCCTTGTCACATCCACATAAGCAACTGGGAGCTGAGAGAATCCCAGGGCATACTGGCCTGGCCAGTCTAAGCCGGCCGAGGGGGCCAGGGTAGGCCAGGCAGGTCCAGCTGGCCAGGCTGGTAGAGGCTAGCCCGTGGAGGTACACTCTGACCTGGGCAGCTGGGCAGAACAAGTCCGCAGGTGCTCCCTGGGCAGCCACCTGAAATCCCAGGGGGGCACGGGCTAGCCCAGCACACTGTCATTGAAGGCCAAGCAGACGACAGCTTTCTGGTGGCCGCCATACTCTCTCTTGATCTCTCCCGTCTCCACACACCAGAGCCGGGCCAGGTTGTCAGAGGAAGCTGCAGGGAGGGGTAGAGGCAGCAGCTCAAGAATGCAGCCCCAGGCCGGGCCCCACCAGAGGCTGGTTCCCAGGCAGCAGGAGTGCAGGTGGCTGCGGCAGGGACCGGGCTGGCAGCGCGGGGCGGTGGCGGGGGGGGGGGGGAGGGTGCTCACCGGTGACGATGTACTGCGAGTCTCCCGAGAAGGCACAGCCCCACATCCAGCCGCGGGAGGACTCTCCCGGGTTGCTGCTCTTGATGCTGAGCTCTGTCATCAGGGAGAAGTTGGATGTCCTCCAAATCTTGCACGTCTGGTCGGCCGAGCAGGTGGCGAGAAGCCTAGGGGTGGGCGTGAGTGCGGTGGGGGTGTCGTCAGCAGCCATGCCCACAAGGCACCCCTTTGCCACATGAGGGGTCCGGCCCCCTGACCCCATACGCACGTAGAGTCGGGGCTGAAGCGGCACTGCAAGGCATAGCGGGTGTGCGCCGGGATCTTGGTCTTGGGGATAAGCTGTGTCACCTCGTCACCAATGCCCCCCGTCAGGTTCCAGACGTAGCAATTTCCCTGCGATTGGAGGGGAGTCATGGGACACCTGAGCCTTTGGTCTGACATGCGGGGAAGAAGGCCCTGGTGGCCGGACCCGGATCCAGAGGCGGCCATCCCACACGGGGATGCACACCGGGATCTGGGGGCCGGGGACATGTGACAGGCACAGCGGGTCCGGGCTGCGGGGAGCACCAGGCAGGCTGAGAGCAGGAGGCCTTCATGCAGAACGCTGCCAGTCAGTGGGAGCATGCAGAACAAGATGGGGGCAGGGCACGTCAGCGGGACCGGCGGAGGGCAGTGTGGGGACGCCACGGGACCAGTGATTCGTTGAGAGGTAAGGGACGTTGAAGGGGAGAAAATGAGGCCGGGCGGGAGAGCGGGGCCACCCCGCAGTGTCCTGAGGCCAAGGCGAGGAGCCAGGGCACCACGGGGTTTGTGCAGGGAATGGTGGGGTCGGGCTGGCGCCGTGGAAGGCTGTGCTGGCGGCTGAGGGAGGATGGTGTGGGGGCAGAGGGTGTCAGTGAGGGGGGGGGCAGTCATGGGGAGACTACAGCCGCTGTGTGGGGAGAGGAGGCAAACTTGGGCCCGGAGGAGCCAGGGAGAAGAAGGAAGTCGACACTTGAGAAGTTCTGGAGGTGGGAGTGATGCTCGCTGACTGAGCTATGGCAGTAGTGAGAGGGGGCGTCAGGAGCAACACCCCGCTTTCTGGCTTTGCTGGCTGGGGTGGAGCTGGAGCCCAGGATGAGGAAGCAGGCCCAGGGGGGAGGGGAAGGGGGGAGTCTGAGGAGCATCTGGGGAAAAGCCACGTGCAGGGAATCAGGAAGATCAGGGACCGGGTGCTGAGCTGGCCTCCCCCCGTGCGCTCACACCCCGGACTCACGGTGCTGTTGACGGCCGCCATGTAGCTGGCATCAGGGTCAATGTGGGCCGACGTGATGGAGACCTCAGGCTCAGGTATCAGCTGCTCGTTGTGGTCAGTTTTCAAGTCCCAGATGTGGATGGCGCCGCTCTGGTCACCCACAATGAGCTCCGCCTGGGGTGCAGGGGAGGTGAGAGAGGGCGGGTCCCCTGCCCTCCAAAGCCCCACGGTGCCCGGCCCTGTGAATGCCCCTCACCTGGTTGGGGTGCAGGCACACACAGTTAATGGGTGCATTCACCTGGAAGATGCGCTGGCACTGCAGGTTCCGGGACCTTTGGGGTGGGCACATACACTCTACTGGGCGCTGCTGGCGCCCCCACACGCTCTTTCCCCTGCTGATAGCAGCGGCCTTACAGCAGACACGAGGGAGACTCGGCCCCCCTTCAGGGGCAGCCCCTCGCCCCGGGTGGGACTCACTCTGATGCCATTCACTCTCCATAGCTCCCTGTGGTATCAGGCTGAGGCTGGGCTCCTCCGTGTGTGGCTTCACCCCTGCCCTATCCTGCTTTCGTCACTGCCCTCAATAAATCACCCGCACAGAAAACCCCGTCTCAGCCTCTGCTTGGAGGGCCCTGGCCTGAGACAGTCCCGGCCTGGCCCCCCACCCCCACACACCCGGCCACAGGCCCCTCCTGCCCAGTGCCCCACACCTGAGGTCCCAGATCCGGGCCGTGCAGTCCTCCCCACCCGTGTACATCCAGCGGCCGTCCTCATGGAAGCCCACGGACGCGATGTTCTTGTTGACCCCATCGTAGCTGATGATGGGGTTGGGGTTGTTGGAGCTGAGATCATACATACGAATGTGCTGGTAACCTAGGGGCACAGGCTAAACTGAAGGGTGGCTGTGCCCAGGCGGGCCCACCAGAGATCAGGGGTTGGGTCGAGGGTACAGGTACCTGCAGCAGCGATCATGCTGCGGTCAGGCGTGATCTCCAGTGCGTTCACCTGCTAGGTCTGTTAAGGAGGAGGATGAACAGAGCACTCGAGGCCCCCACCATCTGGCTCGGCTGCTGCATCCTTTCCAGCCCAGGAATCCCTTCCTTTGCCCAGGCTGTTACCCACCCGGCATCCTTCCCAGTACCACCCTCCCCACCTCCCCACCAGAGGATACAGAGTCCTGATGCTGCACCGTGCGGGTGCAGATCCCACTGTGCGCCTGCCAGAACCGCACTGTGTGGTCATAGCCTGCAGTGGCCAAGATCACCGGGTCACTGCCCACCGTGCCGGGGGACGTGTTCATGGTGTGGAAGAAGGCTCGGGCCCGCACAGGACGCGACTTCTGAAAGGCAGTGGTCAAAGATCAGAGCATCTGCACAAGAGAGGAGTGTGCAGTATTTACGAAATACCCTCTAGGCCCATTCGGTGCTGAGAGATAGGCATTATCATCCCCATTTTAGAGAGGTGGAAACTGAGGCTTAGAGGTTCAGGGGACGCATGACAACCTGAGGACAGCTCCGAGCTCCAAGGCGCGTGCTCCGTTCCTCGCCCCACGGACCGGGCCGGGACGCCCCCCACCCGCAGCCGGCGGGGGGCAGTCACGCCCGGGGCGCCTCTCTGCCGCAGGGGCGGGCCGCGCATGCGCAGGGCGGTGGAACGGCCGGAGAGGAGAGCCGACTGCAGCGGCTGCGCATGCGTACCAGGCCGGCGGCTAAGCCTGATGGGAGGGGGCGCTCTCTGCCCGGACCCTCCGGCTCCCCGGTGCTCCGCCGACAGCCCTGACTCCGTCCCACTGGGCCAGCTTCCCCCAAGCGCGCTCTCCCGGCCACCCAGCGGCCGCTTTCTGGCCCTCGTCCCGCGGCCACCATACCTTACATGCAGCTCTGCGCTCCGCCGCGGCCCAGGACGGCGAGCGGAGCCAGAGCGAATCGATAGAGGCCGCGGCCGAGCGTAGAGTTATCGATGGGCCCTTAAGGCGACACCACGCGACTTACGCGGTGATGGTGGGGCGAGACCAATGTTCTGGGGCGGGTGGAGCCAGTAGAGGCCTCCGTGATGCCTGGCCGCAGCCTTCTCCCCACTCGGGCCCCGCACCCTTCAGACGGCTATCCATTTTCCAGGCTTGGTCCTGAGGCGGGGCCGCCCCAGTCCCTCTCCTCCGTCTCCTACCCCCCACCCCTGGCTAGGATGCCCACGTAAATTGGAGGACGCTCGCCCACTTAACATTTGAATTTCAGGTAAGCAACGATAATTAAAAAAAAAAAAAATTTTTTTTTTTTTTTGTATAAGTATATCCCATGAGATATACTTATCCTAAAAACTCACTCGTTGCCTATGGGGAATTCACATGTAACTGAGCGTTCTGTAGTTCTATTTGCTAGACATGGCAATCCTAGTCTGGGTCCTTTCAGTCCTCTTCAGCCCTGGCCTGCCCCGTTTGTCCGCCCACTCAGCCTCAGTGACCCCTCCAAAACTGGGGTCCCTCATGCCTCCGGTTCCATTCAGTGCTCCCACACTCCAGGCACTGTGGCCTCAGCTTCCCTGTGGTTTCTTCTTCCCGCCATGCTTCAAATGCAGCTACACACCTCCCTTCCTTCCTCTGGCTCCTTGACCAAGGCCACAAACCCCCAGGATGCCCCCAGGCCCTGGGTCCCAGGAACCTTCCGCACCTCTCTTTTTCCTTCCCCTCAGCCCCAGCCTCCCCCTCCAGCAGGCCCTCTGCGCGGTTCTCAACACCTTTCTGACTCCTGCGTCCTCACTTCTCACTCACCCCTCAGCCCACTGTCATCTTGTGCCCCCAGCGCTCCAGTGAAAATATCACAAGGTCACTGATGGTCTCACACTGACAAACCCGATGCATGCTTGTCCTTCTGCGTCTTGACACATCTGCACAGTGCTTGACAGCGCTGCTCCTGGAAGCTCCCCTTGCCCCTCAGCTTCCTGTCAGTCTTTCTCTGCCTTCGCCTAGAGGCTGATCCCCTCCACAGTTCTGGTCTCTGCGGGCCACTCACCCTGAGGGGCTTGTCCGTGCTCCGGGACTTCCAGTGCCACCCCTGTTCGGGGGCCTTGCACCCTGTCTCCAGCTCAGATCTGCCTCCCTGGTAGACTTGTCCCTTGAACTCCCCACACACAGCTCCACGTCCCGTGGCCGAAACAGTCCGTTATGGACCTCCCCCAAACAGCTTCCCCTTCTGTGTGCCAGAGGCATCCATCACCCCCTCTGCCAGAGCGACCTCCTACCCTGCCTCCCTACCCCCACTCTTGCCCCCATCCAGGCTGCCCTTCACATTGCAGAGTGGTCTTTTATTTTTTTTTTTTTTTAAGATTTTATTTATTTAAGAGAGAGACACAGCGAGAGTGGGAACACAAGCAGGGGGGAGTGGGAGAGGGAGAAGCAGGCTTCCCGCCGAGCAGGGAGCCCGATGCGGGGCTCGATCCCAGGACCCTGGGATCATGACCTGAGCCGAAGGCAGATGCATAACGACTGAGCCACCCAGGCGCCCCCAGAGTGGTCTTTTAAAAACCTAGAAGCCCTCACGGGTCCCCCTTCCCTGCCAGGCCCCTGGCCCCCTGCTGACCTTGCAGCGTTCTCATCTCTCCACGGGCTCCATCCTGCCAGAGTGGGCAACAGCCTTGGGATTCGACCGACGCCACACACTCCCTTCTGAGCCGTTGCCCTTGCCCCACCGAGGATGCGTTCCCCAACACCTCTTTACATGCCGAACTCAGGGTGGTCAGCACCTTTGGAGCATTTTGAGGGCTTATTCTGTGGGAAGCATTATGCTGCTGTTTTTGTTTTAATCGAGGTAAAATCCACACACTATGAAATCAACCATTTTTTAAGGTGTTTTTTTTTTTAAGTGCTCTGTGCACCCAATGTGGGGCTTGAACTCATAACCCTGAGATCAAGAGTCACATGCTCTTCCAACTGAGCCAGCCAGGAGCCCCTGAAATGCACCATTTTTTAAGTGAACAAGTCAGTGGCACTTAATACATTCACAGTTCCGGACAATCACTACCTCTGTCTAGTTCCAGAACATGTTCGTCACCCCAAAGGAAAACCTCTGTGTAGTCTCTCCCATTACCTCTCCCCCCTCAACCTCCCAGCCCCTGGCAAACACCAATCTACTTACTGTCTCTATGGATTTGCCTGTTCTGGATATTGCATATAAATGGAATCCTACAGTACATGGCCTTTCTCCCTGGCTTCTCTCGCTGAGCATCGTGTTTTCAAGGTTCATCCAGGTGGTAGCAGGTGTCAGAGCTTCATTCCTTTTTATAGCTGAATAATATTCCAGTGTGTGGCTGGACCACATTTTGTTTACCCACTCACCTGCTGATGGATGCTTGACTTGTTTTCACTTTTTGGCTATTAGGAATTATACTGCTGTGAAGGTTCTCACACAAGTGTCGTTCGGAGTACATGTTCTCATGTCTGTGTATACTAGGAGTGGAATTGCTGGGTCACATGGTAACTGTCTAACTTCTTGAGGAACCGCCAGACCGTGCTGAACGTTTTCCTGCATTATGCATCAGGTCTTCTTACTGGCTCTGCCAAGGAGAAACCACCCTCATTTTGGAGACAAGAAAACTGAGGCTCAGAGGTGTCGAGTCATATGTTCCAGGGCACACAGCTGGAACAAAACAGAACCTATCGTGCCGGCTCTAGGACTTCTTGAGCCCTCCTAGGCCATTGCCTTCAGCTAACAGAGTGAATCCAGCTCCCCGCTGACCTTGCCCCTTCTGGGCATCCCCGACACCTTGTATGTCCTTCTCATCCTCCTCTCTGAGTGCTGGAGCTCTGCCGGGCTCAGAGGCAGCTCTGGGAGGGCCAGATGAATATGTGGAGTCGCAATGCTGAGAGAGTAAGAGCTCTGTGCACCCCAGCACCTGAAGGACATCCAAAGCAGTGTGAAGCCATCAAGGAGCCTGAGGGCAGGAGAGAGGGGTGGGGCTAAGGGAAGGCTGGAGGATGCCACGTGTCTGTGGGTCCCACCTTCATCTCAGAGGCCAGGCCCTGGGCTGTTGGCCTCTCCTGTGGGGCTCTGGATAGAGCCTGGGGACCGCATATGTCCTATGCCTAGTGCTAATGGACAGACCGGGTGGGGCTCCCCACCCAGCCTGAGCTGCCCCAGCATCTATCTCTGCTGGGCAGGAAGAGGGGCCAGGACGCACGGTTGTCAATCCCCTTTTAGGGACCAAGCACCAGCTGAGCGCTTTACCAAGGTGGCGTGCGTGAGAATGATGGTAACTGTGGCAGCTGAATGCTGTGTGCCCCCTGCAGCCCGTGCAGGGGTGCATTCTGTCATCCCCATTTCATACATAAGGGGCTGGGCATCAGGGCTCTGGGGGGCTGGGAGGGGCACCAGGGGCAGCCCCAGCTGCTGGGCAGGAGCAGGGGCTGTGCAGGCCCCCAGCGGAGATGGCCATGCAGCTGGGAAGGGGGCCAGCCTGGGCTGCAGTGAAGCAGCCGCCAGCCCTACTCCAGCCAAGCTCAGCAGCTCTGCTGGCTCAGCAGCCCCTCCTCCCGGGATCCTAAGAGGCCTGGCTTCCTGGAGGGCTGCCCAAGTCCCACGCCTCTGCATCTTCATCCCCCAGCCCGAGCGGCTGGCCTGCCATGCCAGCCCCCCTCCTCAGGCTGGGGGGACCGCAGGCAAACGCACATCTCTGTTTTCACGTGGACCCTCCCATCATCCCTGGGCTGTGGGCAGAGCTGCTGGCCCATTTTACAGATGAGGCAGCTGAGTGTCAGGGCTTGTCCAAAGTTGCTGGGCTGGCTGGTAGCAGATCTAGGACCTCTTGAGCATTCCTAGGCCATTACCTTCATCTAACAGAGCGAATCCAGCAGAATGTGTACAGCTCTCTTCCCAGGTCCGTGTTCCTGAAGATGGACTCCACAGAAGGTACCCCCTTGTAGGTCTGGGGAGTGACTATGGGGTACCTGTTTGTGGGGTATAGACAGAGCTGGAGGTGGGGCGGCTGCAGGTGGGGCCAGTTCATTACCCAGAGGAATTAGAGAATTCTAATTTGGAACTTGGCCTTTCATTCAGGACATGATGAAGGTATTTTTGTGCAGGTAGGAGGATAGGACATATTTTATTTAATGAGTTATTAGCATGGTTTATGACATTTAAATATCTCGACATTTGGTGTGTGGGCCTCTGTTTTGTACCCTTGCCCCAGGCCCTGCAAATGTTAGGCTCAGGCCAGAGTAGTTTCCCTTAGTCAGCAAAAACATAAAAATAATGGTCAGGACGATAACTATCTTTTCGTTTGTATCCTTTGTAATGCTTCTTGTGTGCCAGGCACACTGCTAGGCTCTGCAGATACGAAGATGAGTAAAATATAGCCCCTCCAGGTACAGAGAGCCAAGAATATCACCATACCCACAGAGCCACTTGCTGAGCACTTACTAAGCTCTACAGGAAGGTGCTTTATGGATACCATCACAAGTAATCCTCGAACAACTTACGGAAACCTCTCATTCTCACCCCCATTTTACAGAAGGGAAACCAAGGCTCAGAAAGACAAAGGGACCAGAAGAACAAACCCAGTAAGAGGCAGAACTGGGACAAATGCTGAGGAGAGTGTGGGTTCAAAGCTCAGACTCATGACTTTGAGATTCTAGGACCTTAGGCCGGTCACTTGGCTTCTCTGAGCCTCAGTTTCTTCATCTGTAAAATGGGCACAGTAAATCTATGAAGTGACCAGCATGGTGCCTGAGCCAGCAGATGCCCAGGAAGTGGTCACGATAAAGGATGGGAGGGAAGGACCTTTGTGTTTAGGGACCCCACACCACCCCCTAGGAGCCCAGCATGTGTTGGGAGACCTAAGCTTGCTACCTAAACTCCAAGGAAGACCCTATAGTGGGGACTGATTAGCTGCGTGGATCAGGGGATCCTAGTGCCTGCTGCTTCCCCCCCCGCCCCAACCTGGCCACCTTCCTCCTGGACCTGCTTGATAGTCTGGCTGTAGAAAGAGAGGTGTCAGGCCATCATATGTGCAGACCCCTCCAAAAGCTCTTGACAGCCTTGCCCTGGTGAGGTGATGATCTGCCCCTCCCTGCAAATGAGGAAAGTGAGCCTGAGCCAGGACTCAGACCCCAACCCATCTGTCTGTAGAATACTGCAGCCACGACAAGGGTGAAGGCCCGAGGCCCAGGAGGTCAGAGGGGTGAGACCTCTGTGCATGTGTATGTGTGTGTGTACACGCCCGTACCTGCGTGTGGCGCGGGCAGGGGAGCATGAGGGAGTGGGGACTGGTCAGAGTCTGTGGAGCAGGACTGTCCTGCCCTAGGACCCCCAGGGTCTGCGACTGGAGGCTGGAGGGTTAACAGACTTGGTGGGGGATCAGGGCAAGACTGTAACTCCATGGGTGCTGGGGATGGGGGGTTGCGCCCCTATGGGTGGTAGGCTTGTGGGGCTGCACCCCAGTGGGTGCTGGGGGGTGGCACTGGGGGTAGGGTTCAGGTTGAGGCTGGGGGGCAGGGAGCTGTTGCCCTGCATTGTTTATGGAGAGAGCTGGAGGCTGCAGGCGAAGAAGCAGCAGTTGGGGGTGGGGGTGCGGGTTCCCTGACACCGAATTCATTATTGGGAGATTCCTCTTCACAATCCCTCGACACCTCCCACGGGAACCACGGGCCAGAAATGTCTGACAGCCTCTGGCAGGCCCGCTCCCGTGCCGCCAGGGTGCCCGGGTCTCTCGGCGCCCAGGTCCCCGCCCGCCCACTGCCTCCGAGTCCCTCCCCCCTTGGGTCCTGCAGCCTCTGGAAGCCTCTCTCAGGCTCAGCCTCGCGCCGCCGCCGTGCCGGGGCTCAGTGTCCAGTCCCCACCCCGGCGGCTGCCGTCCCCAGGCCCTGGCGGTCGCCCTGGGCCGCCGACTCTCCGCAGAGGCCGGCCGGGCCGGCGCGGCCCGCACGTGGGGAGGGGGCGTCTCGGGAGCACGGGGCCCGATGTAGGGGCGGAGCCAAGGAGCCGGGAGCGCGGCCGGCGCGGGCGGACGGAGGTCAGCGGCCGCAGGAGGGGGACCCAGGCGTCCGGGAGGCGGCGCCAGGTGCCGCGCCCCCGCCCTGGGCCGCCCCCCGCCCGTGACGCGCTCCCCGCCCCTCGGCGCCGGGAGCCCGAGCCCGAGCCCGAACCCGAGCCCGAGCCCGAGCCCGAACCCGAGCCCGAGCCCGAGGACGGCGCGGGGCGCGGGTGGCGGAGGAGGCGGCGGGGGAGGCAAGAGGATGCGGCCGGGGCCGCGGGGCCGCCGCCGCCGCCTCTGAGCCGCGCCGAGCGCACGGAGCGCAGCCGCGTCGCTGCGGCCGGGCCGCGCCATGGGGAAGGAGCAAGAGCTGGTGCAGGCGGTGAAGGCGGAGGACGTGGGGACCGCGCAGAGGCTGCTGCAGAGGCCGCGGCCCGGGAAGGCCAGTGAGTGCGGGGGGCGCGGGCGGGCGGGGGCCACCGCGGGCGCCGGCCCCCCCACCCCTCCTGGCGCGCGGCGGCGAGGGGGGGGGGGGATGCTGTCGGGTCCCCGGGGGCGGGGCGGGGCCAGCAGCGCCCAGACCCTCTGTCCGCACCCCCGCCCCCAGCGCCGGAGGAGGGGCGGCACCGAGCGCCCGGCCGTCCCCCAAGCCCCCGAGCCGGCACCTGGCCGCGGGCGTCCCCCTCCCTTCCCAGGCTACGGGCTGACAGCTGGAGGGCTCTGCTGGACCGTCAAAGGGCGAGGCGGATGCCGCCCCCCCCTTCCCCACCGTGGAGAGAGGGAGGGGGCCCGGGCAGTGAGGGGCGACCACAGGGCTGCCGGTTCCTGTCAGACCCCCTCCCCGCCCCATGTTTAATAACACGCTTTGCAGGAAATGGGGGGCAGGACCATGCTGGGGGTGTGGCTGCCCAGGCATGGCCGGCTGGGGGCCATTTACTCATGGGAGAGAGAAGCCCAAGGTCGCCCAGCCCAGGGCAGGCTGTGCTCCAGGCAGGTGCAGACCCTGCCACGGACCCTGGTCCCCTCTGGCTTCCCTGCTGGGAAAGGGGCTGGGGAGGGGGGGAGGGGGCTACCACTAGCCATCCTGAGCTTGCGCTGTGAGGGCCCCTGGGAAGGGTTGGGAGCTTGGAGTCCTGATCCCAGCACTCATCCCAGCTCAGCCCAGAGCCTCCCCGGGGGCCACTGGAGATGGATGGATGGGTGTGTGGACCAGCTGCGTGTGCGGCTGCGCACGTATGGCCATGTCAGTGTGTCGGGGCACCTGTGCGGGCGCGGGCAGGGCTCCGCAGGATGGCACGTGGGGTCTGGGTCCCCCACTCCCCACCCCACCCTCAGAGACTGGAGGTAACCCAGGGAGGCCCCTCCCCTTTCTCCAGGAAGCCTGCTGAGAACTGAGCGGGCCTTGGGGCTGGTGGTGGGGGCAGGAAGACCTCCTCCCGCTGCAGCCGCGTCTGCTCCGTGCAGTTAGAGAGCCTTGCAGGATCACATATACAGGCTGGCTCTGCCTTCCACACCCAAGGCCCAGGGATGGTCTGCCAGTTGGGGCGGGCTTCAGGGCCTCAGGGCTCAGAAAGGGAGGGCTTCCAGGCAGAGGACAGATTGAGAGGTGGAAGGCTAGGTAAAGGTTTCCACCTAGTGGCCAGGTGACCTTGGGCACCGAGGACTCCAGCTCTCCAGGCCTCAGTCTCCTCATCTGTAAGATGGGGACATAGGCGGTTCCTGGCTCATAGCATTGTTGGAAGAACAGCGGGAAGCCCGGGCACTTCATAAGTGCTCAGGAAGTGCTAACTATGACTCTTTCCGAAGGCAGCCCAGGATGGGCTTCCAGGGAAGTGGGGCATCAGATTCGGCCATCCAGAGGAGGTGCGGGGACTTGCCCCTCTACCTGGGTGTCCACCTGGAACTTTGCATTTGTGCCTTCCTGGTCTGCTTTCTGGGAGAGACACCTGCCCAGGCCCCCGTATCTGAGCTCTCTGACTCACAGGGGTGGGCATAATAAATCAGACAGAGAAATCCCTCCATGAATTAGCTTGGTTGTCATGGCAACGCTGGCCTGCTTTGGAGTAAGATGTATTTTGATTCAGCAAAGTACAGCTGGAGTTTGGGCCATGGGGTGGGGGGCATCCAGTGGTGCTCTCTCAGGCCCCAGCCCCCCCCCCCCCGACTCCAGAGGTCTTCCCATAACCCTTGTTTCCATGACCTCCACCCCCTGCTGGCACCTTCCCTCCACCCCAAGCCCTGAGTGTTGCCCTGGGGTCTGTCAGCCGTGCCATCCTGCCTCGAAGGGAGCCTCCCCTGGCATGCATGCTCAGGCACCGGGACCCTCGGCCCCTGTCCTTGAGAGGAAGGAGACACTGCTCTGGAGGGAGCTTGCCAGGGTGGGGAGGGCCTTCTGCTGAGCAAGGGACATCTTCCCTTCCTTCTGGCCCCACATCCCCTTCCCCAAACTCACTGAAGACTACAGGCCAGTAAGCCTGCGTCCTCTCACCTTGGCCCACTAATACTTCCCTTGCAGCGTCTGGCCCAGAGCTCCTTGCCTGCCCTGGGGAGGCTGAGGGAGTGCCCTGCCCTGTGCTGCCACCAGAGGCCAGGACCACATCCCTACAGGGGACAGACGTGGCTCTGTGGGGCCGGCAGACCAGTGGTTTCTGTGGTTGGAGGAGCCTCTGAGTAGGGGGGTGGAGGGAGGCCCCAAGGGTAGGGTGGGAGAGGGACTAAGGCTGGCTTCCCCAGGGCCTCTGCCACCTGGAGTTTGGGGCTGACCCAAGAGCAGGGATGGTCCCAGGAAAGCAGTTAGAGGACTGAGTGACAGGAGCTGGGAGAGCCCACGACATGGGGTAGGGTGGTGATGAAGTCTATTATGCCCATGACCCACGTGGGAGCTGCAGGACTGAGTGCCCTTGGGGAAAAGAGAAAGGGGGCTCCTGGGAGGAGTTTCTGGGGCCTTCATCTTGGTCCCCACTTGTTGCACCGATGCCCCCTTTCTCCCTCCCTGCCCAGGCCCCTCTGGCCATGCCTGCTCCAGCTTTATTCAGAGTACCTGTCTCTGTGAGGGACTGCCTCCCTGGCACCAGGTGGGCTTCCAGTGTGTGACCTCCCTCGGTCCCCCTTGTGAATCGGGGGGTGCTGCAAGATCTCAGGCTCTCCTCTACCCCTTCCAGCTACTTTCTCCTCTGAGGGCAACTGCAGCGGGGGGTGGGGGGGGGGAGATGGCCTCACAAGACCTCCTCCTTCTATAGGGAGTAGTCTTCTGGGTGGAGACTCCCCCTCCCCACTGGTGTCTGTGCCAGGTCCTGGGTCTTGATCTCTAGCCCTTCTAAAATGTCAGTGCTTGCAGGTGTGGCCAGGCTGGGGGTGGGGGAGACCTGGCTCCCCTGGAACTAACAAGAAGGGACAGGAAACATCAGAGCTGGGCAGAGTGTTCCGGGGGGGAGAACATCCTGAGCGTGGCCCTGGTTGGGGGAGGGGACGCTACAGGACAGCAGTGGGGGGGGGGGTCGCCGGCTTACCCAGCACCTCATAGGTGCCCGGCTCTGTTTCAGCTACCAAGGATAGAGCAGTGAGCAAAACAGATTAAAAAATCCTCATCCTTTTGGAGCTTGTACTTTAGTGATGGAGATGGACAACAACCAAGATAAATAGTAGTGATAGGAGCTAGAGAGAGAAATACAACAGACACAGGACAGAATGGGGTTGCTGTTCTAGATGGGGAGCCCAGCGGTGCTCCTCTGAGCAGGTGACATATGGATAAAGTCCTGAAGAACGTGAGGGAGGGAGTCATGGAGATAACCGGGGGAAGAACTGCACCCCTCACATATACACAGCATGTGCAAAGGCCCTGTGGCAGGGGTGGCCGGTGTGTAGGAGCATCATCAAGGAGACTTATGTGGCTGGAACAGGGGTGATGAGAAAGTGAAGCAGGAGGGCTGTGTCTTGTGGACCATTGTCCAGTGCTGGCCCTCAGCCCCAGTGACACAGGCGCTGTTGGAGGGTCTTCGGGAGAGGAGTGGTGGCGGTGGGATCTGACTCATGTTCTCACAGGGTCCCCCTGACCTCAGTGGTATGGAGGACAGACCCAGGGGCAGGGTGGAAGTGGGGATGCCAGTAGGGAAGTGATGGCAGTGATCCTTCGAGAGATGCTGGCCTGGTCAGGGTGGGGACATGGCAGTGGTGGGAAGTGGTAGGATTCCGAGTGTGCTTTGAGATGGTCTTGAACGTAGAACCAATAGGATTTGCTGATGGAGGCGCTATAAGGTACTTGAGGCTGACTCTGAGGTTTTGGCCTGGACCATGGAGGGAAGGGTGGTGTTGCTGCCACCTTCGATGGACGTCAGGGCCAGCAAAGTGTTGAGCAGAGGGGCAAGAGTGGGGCCGTGTAATGCCTCCACTCCGCTCTATGCAGGAGGAGCCCCTCACTTCAGAGGGTGGGGGTGGGATTCCCACAGAGCTAATATTAGTAACTGCCGCTTATTGACTGACTCTGTGCCAGACCCTTCTTGCTTTAAGGGTGGACACGCCCTAAGGCCTATGAGCCTGGCCCCCTTAGCCCCCTTTGAGCTCAAGGCCAAGGCCATAGGGCTAGTAAGAGCCCAGTGAGAGTTTGGACTTGGGTCCATCTGCCTTCGTGAGCTTTGTGGGCCATCGGGGCCTCACACCCTGCATCCAGCAGCTGAGAGCCGAGTCCAGAGCAGCCCTGGATGCTGTGGGTCGCCAAGTGGGTTCTGGAGCAGCCCCTCTGTGACTCGACTCCCTTGGGTTCCTGCTGTCAGGGACCCCCGCCCCCACCCCTGTCCTGGGCCTGGACAAAGGGGCTTCTGTCCTGCCAGTCCTTCCCTCACAGAGTGACTGACCCACAAATGGGTTATGTAACCATGGCCCAGACAGGCAGGGGCTTGGCCTGAGTCCGGCTGGCCCCGAGCCCACAGGGAGGGCGTTGGTGGGCTCCCCTCCTCCAGCAGTCAGCTGGTGGAGGCCAGGACCGGGGAGGCCCAGGAGGAAACTGGGGCCCCAAACAGAGGGCTTGGGCCCCTCGGCTTTGGGTGGGCTGATCCCAGGACCCAAATGGGCCTGCGGAGATGTGGTGGCCTTTCTTGTGTGGTCACTCAGGGGCACCAGCCCACTTGCCTGCCTCCCCTTCCTGCCTCTCCAGGCAGGACTCATCCACATGGGCAGGCCCAGGCCTGGGACTGGGGGGAGGCTGCACCCTGAAGATGCAGATCTTCCCCCAGAGATACCCCAATTTCCGGGTGTTCCAGCCTTCCCAGGCCACCCCCGGCCCCATCTGGGTCCTTCTGAGAAACAGATTGTGCCGGCTCTCTCCCTCCCGCCATCGGCAGGTGCTTTGCCAGCGTCCCCGAGGAGGGGGTGCATGTGCACATGTGTGTGTGCCTGTGTGGGTGCGCAGCTCTGGCTTCCGTCCCCGCATGGGGACGGGCCCGGAGCCCTTGGCTCTGTGAACTTGCAACACCTTAGTTCGGTGGAAAACCGGGGTCCAAAAGCTGGTACCTGGAGCTGAGTGCAGGGGACAGAGTTGAATGAATGAAGGCATGTTTGTTGATGAAAGATTTAAGACAGCTTTGGCTCCGAGCCTGCCGGGATTGGACTGCCTCACTGTCTCTCTCCCACCCCCCTAGAGCTCCTGGGCTCCACCAAGAAGATCAATGTCAACTTTCAGGACCCCGATGGGTGAGTTCTCAGACAGGGAGCACCAGGATGGCATGGGGTGCGGTGGGGGGGCTCCTGTGGAAGGCCAGGTTGCCTGGCTCCTTGCCCATTCATACCCGTCGCCTGCCTCAGCTTCTCTGCCCTGCACCACGCGGCCCTGAATGGCAACACGGAACTGATCACCCTGCTGCTGGAGGCCCAGGCTGCTGTGGACATCAAGGACAACAAAGGCAAGGCCCGCCAGGAACCTCGGAGCCAGGGCGGGGGTCGAGGTCCGGGGTGGAGTCCCTAGAGACCTAAACAGTCCCATGATGGAGGCCCCAGCCCAGAGTCTTGGTCTGGGTCGAGACAGGTTTTCCTGGGATCAGCATCCTGCAAGCCCGGATTGGGTGCGGGGTCAAGGGCTAGCTCCCAACGGCCCCCCCGCCCCCACCCGCTCCCAGGCATGCGGCCGCTGCACTACGCGGCCTGGCAGGGCCGGAAGGAGCCCATGAAGCTGGTGCTGAAGGCGGGCTCAGCGGTGAACATCCCATCCGACGAGGGCCACATCCCTCTGCACCTGGCAGCCCAGCATGGTCACTATGATGTGGTAAGGAGCGCCCCAGGGGCGGGGCGCCGGGGCGGCGCGAGCCCAGCAGCCGCCCTGGGGGCTGACCGCGTCCCGTGGCCCCACAGTCCGAGATGTTGCTGCAGCACCAGTCCAACCCGTGCATGGTGGACAACTCGGGGAAGACGCCCCTGGACCTGGCCTGTGAGTTCGGCCGCGTTGGGGTAAGTCTCCCCAGAGAGCTGAGTGGGACTCCATCTGCTCCGGCTGCCCCCCCAGGAGGGGGGCAGTGGGGAGACACACCTGTGACCTCCCACCCCACTTCCGGCCCCCCTTCTCTGACCCCTCCCTCAAGGTGGTCCAGTTGCTCCTGAGTAGCAACATGTGTGCGGCCTTGCTGGAGCCCCGGCCGGGGGATACCACCGACCCCAATGGCACCAGCCCCTTGCACCTGGCGGCCAAGAATGGCCACATTGACATCATCAGGTATGGCTGTGGCGGGGGAGAGGAGGGGGACCCGGCTGCGGGCTTCCTGCTCCGGCTGCATCATCAGCCGTGGCATGTGCTCAGTGGCCGCCCCCGCCCGGAGAGGCTACGCTGCGGGGATGGGGGCTGGGGAGTGGACTTGTCCAGCCCTAGGCCTGGGCTCTGTGGGGGCCCCGCCTCTTGCTGGGCGGCCTTGTGGAGACACTTAGCATCTCTGAGACTCAGTTCTCCCGTCTGTGAAGCGGGTATCCCGGCAGCGGCTACACTAGGATGACCCCGACAGCTATTACCGTCTGCGGGGCGGGGGGGGGGCTAGCTCTTCCGCAAACGCTCGGTCACTGTCAGACACCACGTTGTGGGGGGCGCCTGGGAATGGGGGCCCAGCAGGGGGATGGGGTGGGAGGCTCCTGCTGTAAGGGCTCCTACTCCGGCCCGCTGTCCGCCTTCTAGACTCCTCCTCCAAGCCGGCATTGACATTAATCGCCAGACCAAGGCCGGCACAGCCCTGCACGAGGCCGCACTCTGTGGGAAGACGGAAGTGGTGCGGCTACTGCTGGATGTGAGTCAGGGGGCCGAGGGGGCTGGGCCCGGTGGGAGCATGGGGCCTCCTGACAGGCCGCACCCTCTGGCACATACAGAGTGGGATTAATGCCCACGTGAGGAACACCTACAGCCAGACGGCCCTGGACATCGTGCACCAGTTCACCACATCCCAGGCCAGCAAGGAGATCAAGCAACTGCTGCGAGGTGGGGCTGGGGCTGGGGCGCGGGACCCAGGAGGGGCGGGGGGCGGGCGGCTAGGCTAGGCTAGGTCAGCTCACAGGACTGGGGGGGTCTGCCTCCTGTGTCCCCAGAGGCTTCAGCGGCCCTGCAGGTCCGGGCAACCAAGGATTATTGCAACAATTACGACCTGACCAGCCTCAACGTGAAAGCTGGGGACATCATCACGGTAAGGCCAGCCGGGGTCTGCTGGAGTAAGGATGGGCGGACCCCGGGCGCTCACCCCACAGCCGCCCCGCGCAGCAACTGGGGAGTCTGGGGGTTGGGGCGGGAGGCCCAGGTCAGCCACCCACTTGACCTGGACCTGGAGGGATGTCTCCCTGAGCATGCTCCCCCATCTCATCTGGCCAGGTCCTCGAGCAGCATCCGGATGGCCGGTGGAAGGGCTGTATCCATGACAACCGGACAGGCAACGACCGGGTGGGCTACTTTCCATCCTCCCTGGGCGAGGCCATTGTGAAGCGAGCAGGCAAGTCCCACCTGGGCCTGGGTTTGGGGACCAGAAGGAAGCAAGCGCGTTTGTGTTGGGTGGCGAGGCCACTGCTGGGTGTGGGGTCCTGAGTGGGGTCCTGCCAGCTGTCTCATCAGCGTGCCCACACCGGTTCCCTCCTTTATTTAATAGGCGGTATGCACCAGCCGCCAGGAATAGATGGTGACCCAGATGCACGCCATTCGTGCCTCAAGCTCACCCCGAGGGAGGGAGGGGAGCAGGGGGCAGTGAAGTAAATACGCAAGCAAATGTGCCAACTGGTACCGTGGACAACATGGACGGAGACCTGCTTTTTATTTATTGTTATTAGTTTCGGGGTACCACTTAGTGATCCATCGGTTGCAGAGAGACCTGCTTTTTAGACAGGGTGGTCGGAGAAGGCACTAGGAAGTGGGAGGGGCTGGCCCCGGGCAGAGCATCCAGACAGCAGGAATGACCTACACAAAGGCACCAGGACAGAAGAACGCGTGAGGTGCCGGGGTCCTAAAGGAGGCCAGCATACACGGCTGGCACAGACTGAGGAAGGGGGGTGCAGGGCGAGGCCACAGGGCATGGATTGCTTTTAGACAGGGGTCAGTGAGATGGCTTACCTCCTAGACAGGACGTGGAGATCGACGGATGAGGTGAAGGGACAGAGGGGGGCCAGTGAGAAAGCATGGCCAGCCCACCCAGGGTCATCTAAGCTTTTGGGGACCTCATGTCTCTCCCTGCTCCCCACACCCCACCCAGGGCCACAGGGCCACTGGCAGGATGGCCTGGCCTGGGCCCTCTTGCCATGGTCTCCTGCTCTGAAATGTATAGGGCAGGGAAGGGTCTTCTGAGGCTCTCTCAGCTCCCTGGAGACAGCCGGGGCCAGACGAGGCTGCAGTGCTGACCCGAGGGGTCTCTGCTCTGCCCAGGCTCTGGGGCCAGGCCAGGGGCGCCCCCTCGCCGTATCAGGCCCCCACGCCTGGCTGGTCCAAGATTCAGGGTGGCTGTGCTTGGCCTGCAGGTTCTCGAGCAGGTGCCGAACCAAGCCCATCGCAGGCGGGCAGCTCATCAGGGCCCTCCGTGCCCCCCGAGGAGATCTGGGTGCTGAGGAAGCCTTTTGCAGGTGAGTGGGGAAGCTCTGGAGGTCAGGGCCGCAGTACTTCCATGAGGCGTCTCCTGGGCTCGGGCCGGGCCATCACCGGCTGACAGAGCTCCCTCGTGGTGGCAGGTGGGGATCGCAGCGGCAGCGTGAGCGGCGTGGCCGGTGCAAGAGGTAGTGGGGGCCACACCCTGCACGCAGGCTCCGAAGGGGTCAAGGTAGGTGGTCTGGGGGGCAGGGCTGGGGGGGCTGGGGCACAGAGCAGCGCTGGCCAGCCTGCCTGTCTGGGTTGTAGCTCCTGGCAACAGTGCTCTCCCAGAAGTCCGTCTCCGAGTCCAGCCCCGGGGACAGCTCTGTCAAGCCTCCAGAGGGCTCCACAGGTAAGAGCAGCCCCTGGCCAGGAGGTGGTCCCCCCCCGCAGTGAGCAGCCCCTGCCCCACCACACCCTCTCGTCCCCAGGTGCGGCCCGGGCCCAGCCTCCAGCGGCCCACGCTGGGCAGGTGTATGGGGAACAGTTGCCCAGGAAGCTGGAGCCGGCATCGGAGGGCAAGGTACAGGGCCCGGGCTGGCTGCGGGGAGGGGCTCCCGGGCAGCCTGCTGGGTCTGGCCACAGCGTGGAGGGGGGCCCTTGATAGGCCAGGCCCGTACTTCTGTCCGTCTGTCAGTCTGTGTGTGTAAGTGTTGTCTATTGTGTGGGTTGTGTGTGTGAGCTGGTGCGACCGGGAAGTGTGACGTGGGCGTGAGGTGAGCAGGGGATGCGCCTGTGTGTGGGTGGTGACGGCGAGCTGGGCACGTGCGCGTGTGTGTGTGTGGAGGAGGCCTGGGTGTGAGGCAAGCCCAGGTGTGTGGGAGGGTGAGAAGGGCCCTGTGTGCTGGGAAGGTGTGAGCGGGGGCTGTTCCTCCCGCACACCTCTGGACAGAGCCCACCCGCGCAGGAGTGGAGGGGCTGCTCTGCGCGGCCGCATTGCCGAGCCCCCCAAGCCCCTCACGTGGGGCCGCCGCAGGGTGTCCCTGGCGCAGGAACGGGGGGATGGGCAGGGAAGCCTGTGGATCGGACGGCAGCTGGACCCTTCTGGTGGAGACCGCGGCAGGAGGCCGGACGGCTGACGGAGCTCGCCTCGGTGGCGTCCGGGAGCACAGCGTGAGGAGGAATGCCGGGGCCAGGCTGCCCCGGGCCTGGCCTAAGGGGGACCAGCGGACGGCGGACTGAGCGGCTGAGCAGAGGAGGAGCCGGCTCGGTGGCCGGGGTGCACAGCTGGTGGGAGAGCAGGCGGTGAGCCTGCAGCGGCTGCCTTGTGTCTTCCAGAGCGCCGAGGCCGTGAGCCAGTGGCTCGCCACGTTCCAGCTGCAGCTCTACACCCCCAATTTCATCAGCGCCGGCTACGACCTGCCCACCATCAGCCGCATGACCCCGGAGGTGAGCTGCCCAGAGGCTGGCCGCCAGCCATGACCGAGCTGGGCCCCCAGCCTCCCGCTCACGGGCCTCTCCTCCACCTAGGACCTCACGGCCATTGGGGTCACCAAGCCGGGCCACCGGAAGAAGATCACCGCGGAGATCAGCGGCTTGAGCCTCCCCGACTGGCTGCCTGAGCACAAACCCGTAAGGCTCCCTGCACCCCAGGGGCTGTGCCCGGGGTGGTCAGACAGACAGACTGACTGCCTCCCTGGCTACAGCCCTCACCCGCTCTCTGGGGCTCCAGGGAGAGTACAGAGGACGGCCTCCATTTGTCCGTCCCGGGCACTGGGGCCGGCCTTCCCGGGGCAGGGGCTGGGGCCTGTCAGGGCAAGGGCCTGAAGCCACGAGGGGGCCCCTCTGCAGTACCAGGACCCCTGCACCCTAGGGCGGCCACGGCAGGCACACCAGCCAGCACCCCACAGCACTGCCCACCGCGTAGGCACCCAGACGCCATAGGGGACTCCATGTGGACGGGAAGGGCTGGCACGCATCCAGGCCCGTGCGTGGGGAGGATGTGTCTGCTTCGTGTACACAGACCGCACGCGTGCACCACATCTAGTCAAGGCGCCTGTTGCCGACCGCATGCACACACCCACACTTCCAGGGCATGTGCTGGCTGTGTGGACAGCGGACACCCACGCAGACCGCGGGCTGTGCCGTCACCCACAGTCACTGGTGCAGTGCGACAGGGTCTGGGCCTAGGTAAGGTGGGCCCGAGGCCGGTTGCATCTACACTGCCTGGGAGCCTCGCGCCGAGCTTCAGGAGAGACCCCACCGTCACCCAAGGCGCCCAGGGCTGTGGGTTGGTGACGCGTGGGGTCCTGCTCGCCTGGCCCGGCTCAGCCCACTCAGGCAGCGGCTCAGGGGTGCTCCCAATGAGCACATCCCTGTCCCGTGGGCCGCATGTGGCTCTGTGCACCTGGGGGTGACCACATGTGCTGTGTGTTGGTGGGTGAGTGATATCCAGCCGCGAGTGTGGACAGGTGGTTCTGGGTGAAGAACATCATGGGTAGTTACATGCGTGTGTGCTGTGGCTACGTGACCTGTGCCCAATGTGGTGTGCAAGTGGGCGTGAGCATGACGTGGAGGGTGTGGGTGCCCGTGTATGGCCAGGATGCAGGCTGCGTGGATGTGCGTATCTGGCCGGTGGTGCCGCGTGTCTGTGTCTGTGACGTTGCCAGCCATGTCCCCCTGGGTGCTGTCCCCGTGGCTGCCTTGGCAGGTGAGGAAGCGCATTCCTCCCCTCCCCCAAGCGGTGTCCTGAGGATAGGGTCGTCCCTGTGTGTGTGTGTTTGCGTGTGTTTGCACAGGCATGTGAGCTGGCCTTGGGCTCCTATTGAGGTTGCGCTGTCTCCAAAGCTGACACCTCTGGCCTGTCCATTTGTCCTTCTGTCTGTCTGTGCCAGGCTGGCCCGGTGCCCCTACCCCCAAAAGCTCTGAACAGCGAGCAGGGTGTGGCCAGCCAGCTCGGGCTGCCCTCTGTGTCCTCTTGCTCCCCAGGCGAACCTGGCGGTGTGGCTGTCCATGATTGGCCTGGCCCAGTACTACAAGGTGCTGGTGGACAACGGCTACGAGAACATCGACTTCATCACCGACATCACCTGGGAGGACTTGCAGGAGATCGGCATCACTAAGCTGGGTGAGGCGCTGGCCCCGGCCCCCTCTGTCTCCCGGTCCCTGCTCCCCTCCCGGGCCTGACCTGCCCCATGCCCCACGCAGGACACCAGAAGAAGCTGATGCTGGCAGTGAGGAAACTGGCGGAGCTGCAGAAGGCAGAGTATGCCAAGTACGAGGGGGGACCCCTGCGCCGGAAGGCCCCACAGTCACTCGAAGTGATGGCCATTGAGTCGCCAACCCCGCCTGAGCCAGCCCCCGCTGAGTGCCTGTCTCCTAAGATGACCACCTTCCAGGACAGCGAGCTCAGTGGCGAGCTGCAGGCTGCCATGACTGGCCCAGCAGAGGGGGCCACCGCCGCCACCACTGCCGAGAAGCCCTCCAACCACCTGCCCCCGACGCCGAGGGCCTCCATACGGCAGGAGCCCAGCCTGGGAGGACAGGCTCGGCACATGAGCAGCTCTCAGGAGCTGCTGGGTGAGGGGCCCCCCGGGCCTGGCAGCCCGATGTCACGAAGCCAGGAGTACCTGCTGGATGAGGGGCCAGCCCCCGGCACCCCACCCAAGGAGACCCGGTCCAGCCGCCACGGCCACGGTGTCAAGCGGGCCAGTGTGCCCCCGGTGCCGGGCAAACCGCGGCAGGTCCTTCCGCCAGGTGCCGGCCACTTCACGCCCCCTCAGACGCCCACTAAAGCCCAGCCAGGCTCCCCTCAGGCCCTGGGGGGGCCTCATGGTCCCACCCCAGCCACAGCCAAGGTGAAGCCCACCCCACAGCTGCTGCCACCAACAGAGCGACCCATGTCACCCCGTTCGCTGCCTCAGTCACCCACGCACCGTGGCTTTGCCTACGTGCTACCCCAGCCCGTGGAGAGCGATGCAGGGCCAGCTGCCCCCGGGCCCGCACCTGCGGCCGCGCCTCTGCCCGTGCCCACGCTGTGCCTGCCTCCGGAGGCCGACGTGGAGCCGGGGCGGCCCAAGAAGCGAGCCCACAGCCTGAATCGCTATGCAGCGTCCGACAGTGAGCCAGAGCGGGACGAGCTGTTGGTGCCAGCTGCCGCGGGGCCCTATGCCACCGTCCAGCGGCGTGTGGGCCGGAGCCACTCGGTGCGAGCGCCTGCCGGCACCGACAAGAATGTCAACCGCAGCCAGTCCTTTGCCGTGCGGCCCCGAAAGAAGGGGCCGCCCCCGCCCCCGCCCAAGCGCTCCAGCTCCGCCATGGCCAGCGCCAACCTGGCCGACGAGTCGGTGCCGGATGCTGAGATGGAGGGGGCTGGGACCGAGGAGGGCCGGCTGGGGGTGCGGGCACAGCGCCGACGGGCTAGTGACCTGGCCGGCAGCGTGGACACAGGCAGCGCCGGCAGTGTGAAGAGCATCGCAGCCATGCTAGAGCTGTCCTCCATCGGGGGCGGGGGCCGAGCGGCCCGCAGGCCCCCAGAGGGCCACCCCACGCCTCGCCCTGCCAGCCCGGAGCCAGGCCGGGTAGCCACAGTTTTGGCCTCAGTGAAGCACAAGGAAGCCATCGGGCCTGACGGTGAGGTGGTGAACCGGCGCCGCACACTCAGTGGGCCGGTCACGGGACTTCTGGCCACTGCCCGCCGGGGGCCTGGGGAGTCAGGGGGGCCTGCAGATCATGGCCACTTTGTGGAGGATGGTGCCACCCGGCAGCGGTCTCGAGGTCCAGCCAAGGGTGAGGCAAGTGCGGAGGGCCCGCCCCTGGCCAGGGTGGAGGCCAGTGCCACGCTCAAAAGGCGCATCCGAGCCAAGCAGAGCCAGCAGGAGAACGTCAAGTTCATCCTGACTGAGTCTGACACAGTCAAGCGCCGGCCCAAGGCCAAGGAGCGGGAAGCAGGTCCCGAGCCACCACCGTCACTGTCCGTGTACCAGAACGGCACGGGCACTGTGCGCCGCAGACCCACCTCTGAGCAGGCTGGGCCCCCAGAACTGCCCCCCCCCACCCCCACCTGCAGAACCCCCACCCTCCGACCTGCTGCACCTTCCCCCCCTGCCCCCGCCGGACACCGATACCCGGAAGCCAGCCAAGCCGCCAGTCTCTCCCAAGCCCGTGCTGGCTCAGCCTGTGCCCAAGATCCAGGGCTCACCCACGCCTGCCTCCAAGAAGGTGCCACTGCCAGGTCCTGGCAGCCCAGGTAGGTGCAGGAGCCAGCTGGGGAAGGGCCCCTTCCCACTCCATGGTCTGAGGGATTTTCCTCTTCTTGGATTTGAGCAAGACCATCTGGAATGGGGTGGGAAAGTGTTCTCAGACCCTCTCATCCACCCACCCACCCACTGGACAACTCTGCCAGCCCAGAACTGGGAGGAGGGTGGACGTTTGTCCCCTTGCTCAGTGAAGGAGGCACAGAAACCTGTGGATAACAGCACCTGTGGAGGGAGAACAGGTGCACGATGCTGGGTCATGGAGAACTCTGACCAGGCTGGAGAGTGACCTCAGCACAAGAGGGAGGGAGCGGGCTTCCAAGCAGAAGGATCAGAGGTGCAAAGGCCCTGTGGTATTCAATCAACCCAAGGGCCAATGATTGCCGCAGGCCACACCTGAAGGGGGACGGGGGTAGGGGTTTGGAAGCGATGACGCGGGCAGGTATGCATAGGGAAGCGCGCCCCTGGCGGCTGCGGGGAGCCTGGGGTCGAAGGGGCAGAGGGGGGCTGGGGCCGGGGCCGCGGCCGGACCCACAGTGCGGACCGCGGTGTCTCCGCCCCCGGTGCGAGTCTCCTCCTCCCCGCAGAGGTGAAGCGCGCCCACGGCACGCCGCCGCCCGTGTCTCCCAAGCCGCCGCCGCCGCCCACGGCGCCCAAGCCGGCCAAGGCCGCAGCGGGGCTGCAGTCGGGCAGTGCCAGCCCGTCCCCCGCGCCCTCGCCGGCTCGCCAGCCGCCCGCCGCCCTCACCAAGCCGGCCAGCACGCCGCCCTCGCTAAGCGCCAGCCCCGCCAAGCCCCCGTCCCCCGGCGCGCCCGCGCTGCACGTGCCCGCCAAGCCGCCGCGCGCAGCCGCAGCCGCAGCCGCAGCTGGGCCCCCTGCCGCGCCCGACGGCGCCTCGCCGGGAGACAGCGCCAGGCAGAAGCTGGAGGAGACTAGCGCGTGCCTGGCGGCGGCGCTGCAAGCCGTAGAAGAAAAGATCCGGCAGGAGGACGCACAGGGCGCACGGTAGGTGCGGGGCGGGCTTCGAGCGCGCCGCTCTAGCCCGCGCGCGCTCCGAGGCTGCAGCTCCGCAGGCTGGAGTCGAGGGCGGGGCGGCGGGGACAGCGGGGGCAGGGCCCCGGTCGGCGGGGGCGGGGACGAGTCGTGCGGGGCGGGGCCCTGTGGGGCGGGGCAGCGGGAGGGGGGTCGGAGACGTGGGGGGGCAGAGGCGGGGGCGGGGGTCGAGCCATGCGGGGCGGGACCCAGGACAGCGGGGTGGGGGCGGGTCGTGCGGGGCGGTGCGGGTAGGCCGCGGATACGGAGTCGAGTCGTGCGGGGTGGGGCCCGGGACAGCGGGGGCGGGGTCCGGCCTCGTGGAATGGGGCAGAGCGACGGGGTCGAGCAGTGTGGGGCGAGGGCTGGGGTTGAGCCGTACGGGAAGGGACTCGGGGCAGCGGGGCGGGGTCGGGTCGTGCCGGGCGGGGCCCTGGGCGGCGGGGATGGGGTCGAGCCGTGCCGGGGCTGGGGTGGGGCTGGGGGCGGAGGGGTCGCGGCGGGGTGTGCCGCCACCGCGCTGCCCGCTCACGCCGCCCCCGCCCCCAGCCCCTTGTCCGCGGAGGAGAAGAGCGCCGGCAGCATACTGGACGACATCGGCAGCATGTTCGACGACCTGGCGGACCAGCTGGACGCCATGCTGGAGTGACGCGGCCGCGCACGTCGGGCCCGCCCGCGCCGCCGGGGCCCCGGCCCGCACACTGACCTTTACCTCAGGGTGGGCACCTCTGGGCGCAGCGCGAGCGGGCAGGGCGGCCAGCCGACGGGGGCCAGGAGCAGGGGACGGCCTGGTCGTCCGTCCCCTGCACAAGCACAACTCCTGCCCCTGGGCCCAGGCCGGACAGCCGGCCTGGAGGACTGCCTGGCCAGGGGACCCAAGGGCTCTGGGTAAACGCTGCTGCCCGGTGGGTGCCCGTTCCTGTCTGCTGCGCCCCGTGCAATAACTGCTGGGCCGCCCGCCCACCCATGCCAGGCTCTGCCTGCTGCGGGTGCAGGAGGGGCGGCCCCGGCCCCCTGCCGTGAGCCCAGGTGGGGCCTGCCCGGGCGGGAGGTGGGAGGTGGGCAGCTGCTTTAGCCCCCTCCCCAATCTGTGGCAGAGCACAGGCCTATGCCCAGCACAGAGCTGCCCATTGGGGACTTCCGCCCACCGCTCCAGCGCAGCACAAGGGGCTGGGGCTGGGGTTGCGCCCCTGCCCCACTGTACCCCCCAGAATATAAGCTATGGAGAGTGTTAATTTATTGGGAATGAGCTGAGGCAGATTTCCCCAAAGAAACAAAAAGGTATAACTTTAACAAATATATATTTAAAGAAAGAAAAAATATTATTGATTCTATAGAAAACCATTTACCAACTGTAAGGACACTGAAGTCTAGCTCAAGACAAAAGCTGTTAGAGGCCCTGGCCGTCTGTCTGTCCATCCTTCCCTCCCTCTGTCCAGGACCTCTGGCCCAGTAGCACAAACAGGAGGCTGGGGTCCGGGAGGGTCCATGCTCCGCTAGGGCCTCCCCTTCCTCTCTCTCTTTCTCCTAACTTCTCTGCGTCTGAAGAACTCGAAGGATGTGCCTTGCTTGCTGCTGGGCTGTGTCCTCCACACCGTGGAGCTAGTGGGGAGGGCTCCCTGCTCTCCCGGGGTGCTGGTGGGAGGTGCGCCTGGGCTTTGGGGGAGCTGTGCGTGCAATGTGGGCACACCAGCCAGGTGACAGCGGTGGGTGGAGGGTGTGCATGCCAGACTGCGTGTGGCACGTGCGAGGGTGTGCCTGACCCTCCCTCCCCAGGGCCCTCCCCCATCCAAGTTCCCGCGGACGCTTCTGCTCATGGTCCCAGGCTGTGTCGTGTGGTCGTTCTTGCCCTCTCTCTCTCCTCTCTCCTTTCCAAAAAGTACTGACTGGCCTCCTCTATTGTGTTTGCTGATCCACGTGTGTTGGGCACAACTCTGACATTTCTTAAAAAAAAAAAAAAAAATTTTAACGCCGAAAACCAGCGGTTGTGATGCGGGCGGGCAGAGGGGATTGGCCAAGGTGGCATCTGGGCGTGTGGGGCCCCTTCCAACTGTCATGCCCTGACACTTCCCCAGGTGGGTGCGCCTGGCTTCTCTTTAGTGGGCGGCCCAGGCTGGGGCTCCAGCAAGTGGGGAGGGGGGTTCTGGGCAGGAAGCTGCTGTCAGCTGTCTAAATAAACAGCAGAAAACAGAGCTGCCTGGCTCACTTCTTGGGGACGTGTGTTGGGGAGAGTGGGAATCTAGCTTGCTCCTGGCAGGGAGGAGTCACCAAGAAGGCCACACCCTGGGGCTGACAGGAGGAGCCCTTTTGTGGCCCCGCCCCGCATCCCTCCTGCTGGCTGCCGGTGCCGTGCACACCAGCCTTCTTGGGTGGCCTCTCTGACACCCCCAAGGACTGTCCCCACTCACAGCCACAGTCTGTGCAGCTTTTATTTCAATCAGGAAGTAATCAAATCTATATACAGTCTAAAAACAGTAGAAAAGGTGAGTAAAAAGGCCCACAGTCCATCTGGGGTGGGGATGGAGGGTGGGCCGGGCGAGCATCGTACCTGGCACCCAGAGAGAGGGGCTGGGCACTGTCCTGGCAGCGACGATCACAAGGCCAAGCAGAGGGAGGCTCGCCGGGCACAGGGTGGGGAGGGCACTGCCTGGCCTGGTGAGCCTGCCCGCCTGTCCTTGCAGGGCAGGCAGGGACCCCCCCCAGACCCCTCCCGTGGCCAGCCTGGATGGGACCGGCCTGGGAGGCTGCAGAGGAAGCCAAGACGGGCCTGCACTCTGTTAGCATGTCCAAACCTGCAGAAGAAGGGCTCTGTTTCAGGTGCCCCTTCGGCCACGCTGCCTCACCACCACCTGCCATGCACACTTGCCCTCCAGTGCCCCCTGCCCAGGGCCTCTAGTTCCTCTGCCCCTGCCCCCTGCTGCAGGTGCACAGCCCCCCGGGAAGGCCTGACCTTCACAGTGCTGTCCACAGCTCCTGAGAAGAGCCGGCCCCGGGACACAGCCAGCGCAGTCACACTGCCCTGGTGACGCAGCAGCGTCTGCGTGCAGATCATGTTGTCCATACTCCAGACCTGGGGGCACATGGCACGTGAGCGCCCAGCCAGCCCAGCTGCCAGCCCGCAGCCTGCCACCGGCACTAGGCCAGCACACACCCTGAGAGACCGGTCGTAGGACGCGCTGAAGACTTTGGTCTGGTCTGGCGTTGAGATGACTGCCAGGGCATACACGGTGCCAACGTGGCCCGTCAGGGTCCGCACCTGCTCCTTGGACTCGATGTCCCACACCTGAGGGAGTGGCCCAGGCAGGTCAGAGCCACAGATGGGGGAGGACAGCGGCCCAGAGGGAAGCCCCGGCCCTAGTCGCCCGCCTTACGTGGATGAGGTTCTCATAGGTGCCACAGACGATGTGGTGATTCGTCACAGCAATAGAGTAGACGCTGCCGCCAGACGTCTGCAGGACATGGATGCAGTCGAGGGTCCGGATGTCCCAGATCTACGGACAAGCTCAGGCCACTTGGTTCCAGGCCAGGCACCTCACCCCCAGGGCCTCGGAGGCTCTGGACACTGTGAGCAGCCCACCCGTCCCCCAGGAAGCGTGTGAGGGCCTCTCTGCCCCGGCAGTGAGGGGGGCGGTGGAGGAGGAGCCCCCCCGGAGCAGGCCTGGGCAGTGACGGAGGAGCCTCCCCAAAGGACCCTCCCCCGCCACCAGGCCTACCTTGATTGTCTGGTAGGAGCCGCTGTACAGGTAGCTCTGGGCGGCCACCAGGGCCCGGACCCAGTGGTTGAGACCTGTGAGTTCCTTCTTCAGCTTCAGTTCAGTGCCCACGATGTCCCAGACCTGTGGAGGCGGCCATGAGTGTGGGCTGGGGGGCACTTAGCCGGCACCTTGATGCCCCCCCCACCCCGCGTACACACAGTGCCACGCCTGACCTTGATGGCCTTCAAGGAGCCGCTGAAGAGCATGTTGTGTGAGGAGACCAGCGTGCACACCGGGTTGTCGTGGGCCCGGATCGTGTTCACCTTCTGCAGGTTCTGGATGTCCCACACCTGGTAGGAAGGAGGACAGAAAGCCTCAGGCCCCAGCGAGGCGGCACGCCCGGGGTGCCCAGAGCCCGCGCGCCCGCCGCAGCCCCACTCACGATGATGGTACAGTCCGCCGAGCCACTGTACAGCTTGCACCTGGGGGGCGGGGCCGCGGGGTCAGGGCGGCACATGCCGCCGTCTGCGCTGGCGCCGCCGGGCTGGGCCGAGGGGCAGCAGCCAGAGGGCCCGGCAGCTCAGGCCAGCGCCAGGGACGCTCCTGCCCCCTCAAGCCCTCGGTGCTCCTGTCCCGGCGAGGGAATCTTGGGAGTGGAAGCCCGGCCCCCACCCCCTGCCTGGCAAGCGGCCAACAGTGAGCTGGGAGGTAATGACCCCCGTCAGCGCTGTTGGCCGTCAGCCGCTGCTTTCTGGGAGCGAGTGTCTTTGTCTCTCCGTCTCTCACGCTCATGCCCACGAAGTAAAGCCTCATGATGCGAGACAGGAGGAAGGTCTAGAAGGGGCTACCCTGGGAGTGAGGGGGTAGCGGGGCCGGCAACTCGGTGGTCCTGTCCCTGAGCTGTGCCCAGGGCTCTGGCTACAGGCCAGCGAGGTGCCCGAGGCACCCCAGGGCCGCGGCTACACGTCGAGAACGTACATCTTCAGAGCAGGAGGGCCCGTGTGCTGCCACCTAGCCATCCAGCTCTGCTCGAGGGTGAGAGTGCCCCCCAGGACGGGCACACACGGCCATGTGAGGACACACGTGGCCGCACAGGCTCGAGCCCCTGGCCCACGGGGTCTCCCGTCCCTGGCCCGGCGTGGGCCCCGGGCCGGGGAGGCGTGCGTGCGCACACTCACCCTTGGATGCACAGCGCCAGCACGATGCCGTCATGGCCCTCCAGCGTCTTCTGACACTTGTAGGTGGTGCATGTGTCCCACACCTGCAGAGACCAGGGCCGTGTGGGTCCCCACAGGGCCAGCCCAATGCCGGGGGCAGCAGGGTGGGAGTGGGGCCGGAAGGTGTGCCGCCCGCAGGCAGGCCAGGGCCGGGAGAGGTTGGCAGGCGTGCCCACCCCCGAGGCAAGACCCCACTTACCTTGATGGTCTTGTCAGAGGAGCCGCTGAAGAGCAGGTCCCCCATGGAGTAGACACAGAGACACCAGACCGGGCCCTGGTGGCCCACGAAGGTTCCTTTGCACTTGAAGATCTGCTGTGGGTCGTAGGCTGCGGACATGGGGGGAGCTGGTGAGGGCCTGGCGGCACTCAGGGGCAGCGGCGGGGGCAGCAGCAGGCCCGTACTCACATCCTAGGATGCCCATGTTCAGCCGCGCGTTGATGTGGGACAGCTCATCCTGCCAAGGCCAAGAGCGGAGGGCCCGCTGGGTGTGGCTCCAGGCCCCCTGCCCCCAGGCCGGGCCGGGCCCGGACAGTGCAGGTGCAGCAACAGCCTTCCCCGGCCCACCCCTAACTCCAAGTGCGGCCAAGCCTCCTGCGGGGGCCCAAGCTGAGGGGCAGTCCTGTGCCCCCCTCCACCCACCCTGCCCCCTGCACTTGGCCCCCATCTGCTGCTCACGTTCAACATGGACGCATCCCTCCGGAACTCCATGAGGTCCTCGCTGAGCTTGCTCTGGTTTTCGTCTAGGACATCTGAGTGGCCAGGAAGACTGCGTCAGGGACCAGGAGGAGGGGCCGCAACCCTGCCTCTCTGGGGCATGCCCTCACCGAACTTGAGCTCCAGGCTCTTCTCCAGCTGGTCAATCTTCTCTGAGAGCTTGCCCAGCATGGAGCGCAGGAAGGCGATCTCCTGGTCCTTCTGGGCCAGCGCCACATGCATCTCGTGGAAGCGGTCGTCTGTCTGCTGCAGGAACTCCTTCAGGCCCTCAAAGCGGCACGTCTCCAGGTGCGTCTCATAGGTGTCCTGGTTCCCGATGAAGGTGCACCTGGAGGGACAGGATGGCTGCCCTGTCCACCTGCTCACCTGCTCACCTGGCGGGGCCCTTTCCCCAGCCCCCCTAGCCCCAGGATCTCTCTTGAGTCCCACTTCTCTGCCACGATCCTCCCCACGCCTGCTGCCTGCCCATCTGTCCTGCCACTGCTCAGCACCTAGCAGGCCGCTTTGTGAGGAAATCTCGTCACTTTGCTCCTGCTCAAAGCTCTTCAAGGGCTCTACAACAGCCATTGCCAGCCTCCCAGTCCTGCCTCTTCTCTGGCCCGCCACACCTCGGCTCTCCCCTCCACCCGTGTTGGCCCCCAAACTGCTCCTTGGCTCACACGCACACATGCATGAGTCCTCAGGGCCCACCGTCCCTGACCCCCCGGCTCCCCGACCACTCTGAGCCCTCTGCGCTCCTGGAGGGCTCAGGTCTCTCCTTCGCGGCACCTGTACCTCAGTTTGTATTATACAGCTGGTGGTGTGGCTCCCGCTAGGGTCCATCTCCCTGGGGACCCTGGCTGTGTCCCCAGCGCTCAGCACACAAGTGGATCTCAACAGAGGTTTGCTGAAGGAGGGACTGTGAATGCCAGCCCAGTCGCCACCCCCCCGCCCTCCTGCCTGCCCGCCACCGTCCCAGGGCAGCCCCCGCATGCCCGCCCCCGCCCACTCACCCGTACTTGGAGTGGGGACACTTGATGTGCTCGCACTCCTTCAGGTGGGCCTCCAGGTTCATCTTGAGGAGGGGCGGGCAGCTGGGGTTGTTAGGACATCGTACAGGCCTGTAGTCACAGCTGCTCTCGTGGTCCCTGGGGGGGGGGGGGGGGCAGGGCACCGCGGGCTGAGTCCCCGGAGGCACCGTGTCTCAGCGCCCCTAGGGGGTGGGGAGTGGGGGCCGAGGGGGGCACTTACTTGCGAGCGCTGAGCTTGATGGTGAACGGGCACCCTCGGGGGTCCACCTCAAAGACGGGGGGCTTCCCACCCCCTGCCACCCGGCAGCCGTGCCTGCAGTGGATGAAGAGCTCCCCGATCTGCTCAGCCACCGCAATGTTGTTCACCACCACCGTCAGCTTGGCGTGGTCCACGGGGCACTTCTCTGCAGGGGAGGACATGCTGACTCCACGGTCCACCTGGCCACCCCCAGCCCTGGCAACTCTGCTCAGAGTGCTGTGGCCGGGCTGTG